TATTGGCTCTTTGTATGTCTTTTAAGAAATGGCTATTCAGGTCTTTTACCTATTTTTAATTGGATTATTTGTGTTTTCTGCTCTGCTATTGAATTTTGTTTGAGTTTCTTATATATTCTGGATATTCATCCCTGTCAAATGTATAGTTTGCAGATATTTTCTTCCATTCTGTAGATTGTCTCTTCATTCTGTTGATTGCTTCCTTTGCTGTACAGAAACTTTTTAGTTTGATGTAATCCCATTTGTCTGTTTTTGCTTTTGGGGTCTTATACAAAAGACCCTTCCCTTGCCCAGACCAATGTCCTGAAATGTTTCCCCTATCTTTTCTTCTAGTATTTATATTTGGGGTCTTATATTAAGTCTTTAGCCCATTTTGAGTTGATTTTTTTAATATGGTGAGAGATAGGGGTCTAGTTTCATTCCTGGACATCTAGATATCCAGTGTTCCCAACGCCATTTATCAAAGAGACTGTCCTTCACCAGTGTGTATTCTTCGCGTCTTTGTCAAAAATAAATTGGCTGTAAATACGTGGATTTATTTCCATGCTTTCCTGTTTTATTGGTCTTTACATCCATTTTTATGGTAGTAGCATGTTATTTTGGTTACTGTAGCTTTGTAGTATATTTTGAGGTCAGAGACTGTGATGCCCCCAGCTTTGTTCTTTTTGCTAAAAATTGCTTTGGCTTTTGGCGTCTTTTATGATTCCATACAAATTTTAGGATTATTTATTCTGTTTCTAAGAAGAATGTCATTGGTGTTTTCACTGGATTGCATTGAATCTGTGGATCACTTTGTAGCATGGACATTTTAACAGTATTAATTTTAATCCATGAACATAGGCTATCTTTCCATTTATGTCCTCTTCAACTTTTTCCATTAATGTTTTATAATTTTCATTATAGAGATCTTTCACCTCCTTGGTTAAATTTATTCCCAGGTAATTTTTTTTTAAATGGAATTGCTTTCTTGATTTCTTTTTTTCAGGTAGTTTGCTAGTGATGTATAAAATTCTACTGATTTTTATTTGTTGATTTTGTATCCTGCAACTTTACTGAATTTGTTTATTATAACAGTTTTTTGGTAGAGTCTATAGGGTTTTCTATATATAAGATTGTGTCTTCTGCAAACAGAGACAATTCGACTTCCTCCTTTCCAGTTTGAATGCCCTTTCTCTTTCTTTTGGTTAATTGCTCTGGCTAGGGCTTACAGAATTATGCTGAATAAAAGTGTTGAAAGTAGGCATTCTAGCCTGGTGCCACACCTGGAATCCCAGCAGTTTGGGAGGCTGAGATGGGCAGATCACGAGGTCAAGAGATTGAGACCACCCTGGCCAAATGGTTGAAACCTCTGTTCTTACTAAAAATACAAAAATTAGCCGGTATGGTGACACGGCCTGTATCCCAGCTACTCAGGAGGCTGAAAGAGGGAGAATTGCTTGAACCCGAGAGGCGGAGGTTGTTTATCACACCACTGCACTCCAAGCCTGGTGACAGAGCAAAACTCCATTCCAAAAAAAAAAAAAAAAAAAAGAAAGAAAATTGGACATCTCTGTCTTGTTCCAGATTCTTAAGAGGAAAAGCTTTTACTTTTTAATGTTCAGTATGATCTAAACTATGGGTTTGTCATACGTGGCTTGTGTTGAGGCACAGTTTTCCTCCATACCTAATTTGTTGAGAGTTTTATCACGAAGGTATGTTGAATTTTTTTTTTTTTTTTTTTTTTTTTGAGGCAGAGTCTTGCTCCATTGCCCAGACTGGAGTGCAGTGGCGCAGTCTTGGCTCACTGCTGCCTTCGCCTCTTGGGTTCAAGCGATTCTTGTGCCTCAGCCACCCAAGTAGCTGGAATTACAGGCCTGTACCACCACATCCAGCTGTTTTTTGTATTTTTAGTAGAGATGAGGTTTCACCATGTTGGCCAGACTGGTCCCAAATGCCTGACCTCAAGTGATTCACCTGCCTCAGCCTCCCAAAGTGCTGGGATTACAGGTATGAACCACTGTGCCCAGCTGGTATGTTGAATTTTATCAAATGGTTTTTCTGCATCTATTGAAATGATCATATGGTTCTTGTCGTTGATTCTGTTGATTTGATAGATCATGTTTATTGATTTGCATATGTTGAACCATCCTTTCATCCCTTGGATGAATCCCACTTGGTCATGGTAAGTGATGTTTTTAATATATTGTTGAATTCAGTTTCCTATTATTTCATTCAGGATTTTTGCATCCATGTTCATCAAGGATATTGGCCTGTAGTTTTCTTTTTTGTTGTATCCTTGTCTGGTTTTGGTATCAGGGTAATGCTGGCCTTATAGAATGATTCTGTAAGATTTCTCTCTTCAATTTTTTGAATAGTGTGAAAAGAACTAGTATTATTTAAATGTTTGGTAGAATTCAGCCATGAAGCCATCAAGTCCTGGGCTTTTCTTTAATGGGAGACTTTTTATTACTGATTCAATCTCACTCTTTATTGGTCAGTTCAGGTTTTCTGTGTCCTCATGGTTCAGTTTTGATAGCTTGTGTGTCTAGGAATTTAGCAGTTTCCTCTAGGCTTTCCAATTTGTTGGCATACAGTTGTTTATAATAGTCTCTTACAATACTTTGTTTATGGTATTAGTTGTAATGTCCCCTTTTTCATCTCTGATTTGAGTCTTTTTTTTTTTTGGTCTACTCTAGGTTTGCTGATTTTGTTTACCTTTTCTAAAAAACAATCTTTGGTTTTGTTGATCTTTTGTATCTTTTTTAGTCACTTTATTTCCATTCTTCTGGTCTTTATTATTTTCTTTGTTCTGCTAATTTTGGGTTTAGTTTATTATTTTCTAGTTCCTTTACATCAGGTTGTTTATTTGAGATCTTTCTACTTTTTTTTTTTTTTTTTTGAGGCAGAGTTTCACTCTGACCCCCAGACTGGAGTGCAGTGGCACGATCTTGACTCACTGCAACCTCCGCCTCCCGGATTCAAGTGATTTTTATGCCTCAGCCTCCCAAATACCTGGGATTACAGGTGCCCACCACCACGCCCGGCTAATTTGTGGTAGAGACGGGGTTTCACTGTGTTGGCCTCACCTCCTCACCTCAGGTGATCCTCCCGCCTCCACCTCCGAAAGTTCTTGGGCGTGAGCCACCCGCCTGGCCTCATTGTGATTTTTTTCTTTTTTTAATTTGTTCAGACTTGTTTCGTGGCCTAATATATGGCCCATCATGGAGAATGTTCCATGTGCTGATGAGAAAAATGTGTATTCTGTGGCTGTTGGAGGGAATGTTCTGTAAATGTGTGTTAGGTCCATTTGGCCTAGAGTGCAGTTTAAATCCTGTGTTTCTTTGTTGATTTTCTGTGTGGATGATCTGTCCATTGCTGGAAGTGGGATGTAGCGTTCTCTGCTGTTACTGTATTGCAGTCTGTGTCTCCCTTTAGGTCTGATAATATCTGCTTTATATTGTGTGCACCAGTGTTGGGTGCATAGATACCTGAAATCATTACATCCTCCTGCTGAATTGACCGCTTTGACCTTTGTTTCTTTTTACAGTTTTTGGCCTGAAGTCTACTTTATCAAAATATAGCTACTCCTCTTCTCTTTTTGCTTTTAATTTGCATGGAATATCATTTCTCATGCCTTCACTTTCAGGCTTAGTGTGTCCTTACAGGTGAAGTGAGTGTCTTGTAGGTAACATAGAGTTGGATTTTGTTTTTTGTTTTTTCATCCATTCAGCCACTATGTCTTTTCATTGAAGTATTTAATCTATTTACATTCAAGGGTATTATTGATAGATAAAGACTTACACCTGCCATTTTGTTAATTATTTTCTGTTTGCTTTGCATATTCTTTATTCCTTTCTTTCTCTCTTATTGTTTACCTTTGTGGTTTGGTGATTTTCTATAGTGAGAAGCTTTGATTTATTTCTCTTATTTGTGTGTCTGCTGTAGTTACTTTTTTTCTTCATGGTTACTATGAGGCTTACATTAAACATCTTATAGTTACAATAGAGTGTTTTAAGCTGATAACAACTTAACGTTTGTCTCATAAAATATTTTTGACTTTTACCCTCCCCTCAAACTTACACTTTCGTTGTTTAATTTACATCTTTTTATATTGTGTGATCCTTAACAACTTGTAGCTGTAGTTACCATTAACCATTTTTTACTTTTAACCTTCATAATGAGGATTTGAAAGATTATATTCCACGGTTATAGCAATGGAGTTTTCTGAATTTGGTAATTAATTTACCTCTGTCGGTGAGATTAGATTATCGTATGTTTTCATGATAGTAATTATACTTTTGCTTCCAGTCGAAGCAACTCCCTTAAGCATTTCTTGTAAGGCTAGTCTATTGGTAATAAATTCTTGCAGCTTTTGCTTGTCTGGGAAAGACTCCATTTTTCTTTCATTTCTGAAAGATAACTTTGCTAGTAGTTGTTATCTTTCAGCACTTTGAATATATTATCCCATTCTCTACAAGCCGTTCTTTCTTGGCATGAACAGGTTTTCTGAGAAATCTGTTGATAGGAACCTGCCGGATTCCCTTACACGTGACTTGATCCTTTTCTCTTGCTGCTTTTAGAATTCTCTATGTCTAACTTCTGATGGCTTTATTATAATGTACCTCGGAGAGAGGACCTCTTTGCATTGAATGGATTTAGCATGCTGTGAGTTTCTTGGATCTGGATACCAATATTAAAATTATGTAACTATGACTAATAGTTGAGTGTGGTCCTAGTATAGTTTGCCCTCAAATAGGTAAAAGTCTACGAGATTTTATTAAGATTATTATATTCAACTATATACTGATGTACATAAATATTAAATGCTTTATTGTTATAAAATTTTGAAATTAAAATAAGCATAGTTACAAGCTACAGTATGGCAAAATGCCTTTTTCTTTTTCACTCATCTTTTAGCATCATTGGGTTTTCTTAACTTGAATATATGATTTTAATTCATAAATTTTTTTTATTTAAGGAAAATACATTTTTAGTGTTTTTTATTTCTCTTCCCTACCTAGAAACGATGGAAAGAACTTTCTAAGGAAGACTTATCTCCTGCCTTTGATCATTCACCAAACAAAATAATGACTGAAAAATACAATGGGAACAGAATAGGTCTAGAAGAAGAAAAACTGACAGGTGACCGATGTACAGGACTTCCCTCTAAAATGCAAGACACAATGGAGGAGAACAGTGAGAGGTAAGCTTTCTATAACTACATGCTGAAAGATGAGGCTTTTTGATTTTAGAAATAAATTTTATGGGATCAGGTGCCATAGGATTTCAGGTATGTAATTTTTATATTAGGAAAATACAATCACGCCTGTAATCCCAACACTTTGGGAGGCTGAGGCGGGAAGATCACTTGAGTCTAGGAGTTTGAGACCACCTGGGCAACATAGTGAGACCTTATCTCTACAGAAAATAAAATTAGCCAGGTGTAGTGATGCGAGCCTGTGGTCCCAGCCACTCTGGAGACTGAAGTAGGAGGATTGGTTGAGCCGGGGAGGTCGAGGCCGCAGTGAGCTGAGATAACCACCACTGCACTCCCACCTGGGTGACAAAGCAAGACCCTGTCTTATAAATAATAATAAATAATTATGTGGATATGATATATGATATGAAATAATATAGGCCCTTTTTTTACTGAATTAATATAATCTTTTTTTTTTCTCTGTCACCCAGGCTGGAGTGCAGTGGCACAACCTCAGCTCACTGCTCCACCTCCTGGGTTCAAGCGATTCTCCTGCCTCAGCCTCTTGTGTAGCTGGGATTACAGGCACCCACCACCACGCCCAGCTAATTTTTGTATTTTTAGTAGAGAGACGGTTTCGCCATGTTAACAAGGCTGGTCTTGAACTCCTGACCTCAGGTGATCCACCCGCCTCAGCCTCCCAAGGTGCTGGGATTACAGGCATGAGCCACCGTGCCCAGCCAAAGAGCCACTGTGCCCGGCCAAATTAATACAACCTTTGTTTCTTACCTGAGGGTATTTGAATTTGATGACAAAGATGTTCTCAAGGAGCTTTCAGCCAATACTTATAAATAGAAACCAATTCAAAAATCCTTTAAAACAATCATGATTGAGTGTAAAAGTTAATATAATTAGGTGCTAAAATATATGGTATGGTACAGAAAGTAATACGAATATCTGCCATTTGTACTATAGTTATAGCGTAACTGATAATATGCCTTTAATAAAACATTTAAACATGTAAGCTTAATTCCATTACTGGAGGAAGAAAAAGGCGTTTTTAAAAAAATCCGTATGACTGTGGCATCTGTTCAGGATTTTAAATTACAACTACATTTCTAAGACTGTCTGTCACAGATTAGGAAGCTGGTAACCTGGTATAAGTCGCATAGCAAAGTGAATGAGCTTTTTATTTGCTCTGTCCTGCATGTCTGAATACCTTTTCTTCTTCACTTTTTGCCAGACATACTTCTTATTGTGGGGATTTTATCTTGTGGTTGCATTTGTTAGATTGGAATGAAAATAGTCAAGGTCTGCCATACATTATAGCTTCACTGCTCTATTTTCCTAATATAAAAATTAAACGTGAAATTTTATCAGTGCTAATAACATATTCCAATACATAATACATGTATTATTATAGATTACAGTGGAAGAGTTTATCATGCTTTAGCAATGTTATTCCTAATTTTTGACTTAAGTAGTTTTAGACTGCAAAAGCAAGCATGATGTCTTTTGGTTCCTTTTTTCATCTTAAATAGAATACCTTTAAATCAGGAAGTAATAGTTTTAAATTACCTTAGCTTTTTCAATAATAAGGCTTTCAGATTCCTAGTGTTACTGCTTTTTTCCCCCTTTTATCTAGTACTATCTGCAGAATTAAATGAAAAACAGGCTTGATGCCTGAAATGGCGTTCTTAGTATTTCAGAAGTGTTGAGTTTTAATCTACAAAGATTCAGACCAGCCATGTTAATCCCAGTGAGTTAAATCACTCATCCAAGGCTGCGAATACAGAGGAGACTAGAAAAACCACTCCGGAGTTACAGAGTGATTGCCAAAGGCTGTTTTATGGGGTCTGTGTGTGTATGTGCCTGTGCATGTTTTCACATGTGGTGGCGTTGTTTTCTTCTTTCCCTTTTTTCCTTTCATGTCTGATAAATGAGACTGGTGCATGTTTGAAAGCAGAGAGAGAGTCCCAACAGAAAAGTAAGTGGAGAAGGCTGATTGCAAAAACAAGGTTACAGAAATAAAAAAGAGGAGGCCGGGCATGGTGGCTCACGCCTGTAATCTCAGTGCTTTGGGAGGCCAAGGCAGGCAGATCACTTGAGGTCAGGAGTTCGAGACCAGCCTGGCCAACATGGTGAAACCCCATCTCTGCTGAAAATACAAAAATTAGCCAGGCATGCTGGCACACACCTGTTGTCCCAGCTACTTGGGAGGCTGAGGTGGAAGAATTGCTTGAACCCAGGAGGTTACAGTGAGCCAAGATCATACCACTATACTCCAGACTGGGCAACAGAGCAAGACTCTATCTCAAAAAAAGATAAAAAGAAATGTAAAAGAAGAGCATAGGATCAGGGGTGTGAAATAAAGATTACTCTGAACAGTTTTATTTTTTAATCAGTCCCAGTAATTTTTAATACCTATAGATAGCTTTGCATTAAAGATCCTAATAAGTCTTATCGAAAGAATTTCAACTTTTTTTTTTCCCCTCCAAGAGGGAGTCTCGCTCTGTCCACCCAGGTTGTTGGAGTACAGTGGCGCAATCTTGGCTCACTGCAACCTCCGCCTCCTGGGTTCTAGCAATTCTCCTGCCTTAGCCTCCCAAGTAGCTGGGATTACAGGCCCCCGCCACCACACCCAGCTAATTTTTGTATTTTTAGTAGAGACAGGGTTTCACCGTGTTGGCCAGGTGAAACCTTCTGACCTTGTGATCCTCCCACCTCAGCCTCCCAAAGTGCTGGGATTACAGACGGGAGCACCATGCCTGGCCAGAACTTCAACTTTCAAAAGAAATAGAACACAGTACTTTCTTGTATTCATTTTCATTGTTGAATATCCTCCAAAGCAGTGTTTTTCAAATTGAAGGTCAAATCACATAGTTGTGAAGTTTATTGGATTATAAACGTTTTAAAACATTATCAGCATATCAAAAATAATAACATGAATTTAACAGATGCTGGCGAAGTTGTGGAGAAAAAGGAAAGTTTAAACGCTGTTGGTGGGAGTGTCAATTAGTTCAGCTATTGTGGAAGACAGTGTGGTGATTCCTCAAAGACCTAAAAACAGAAATACCATTCAACCCAGCAATCCCATTACTGGTCTACACCCAAAAGAATATGAGTCATTGTACTATAAAGACACATGCACGTGTATGTTTATTGCAGCACTGTTCACCATAGCAAAGACATGGAATCAATCTAAATGCCCATCAATGACAGACTGCATCAAGAAAATGTGGTACATACACAGCATGGAATGCCATGCAGCCATAATAAAGAACGAGATCATGTCCTTTGTAGGGGCTTGGATGGAGCTGGAGGCCATTATCCTTAGCAAACTAATGCAGGAACAGAAAACCAAATACCACATGTTCTTACAAGTGAGAGCTAAATGATGAGAACACATGGACACATAGAGGGGAACAATACACACTGGGGCCTGTCGGAGGGTGGAGGGTGGGAGGAGGGGGACAGTCAGGAAAAGTGACTAATGGGTACCAGGCTTAATACCTGGGGGATGAAATAATCTGTACAACAAACCTCCACGACACAAGTTTCAAGCTTACATAACAAGCCTGCATGTGTACGTACCCCTGAACTGAAAAAAGAATTTTAACCTGTTTTTATACATGTATGTGTGATGTATAAATTCCGTATATTTACATATACATTGTGTACATATGTAAGTGTGTGTGTGAGGGTACTCTGTTGTGAGGCTGTTTCTTACTGTAGGTTACAGTCTGAGTTTGAAAGCCAGTATTCTCAATTACAGTCCAACCCAGAAACCCAGTTCACTGAGAGTGAGAAACAACTTGGACATATGAAAAGTCTGGAGCAGGCAGAGTGGCTCATGCCCGTAATCCCAACACTCGGGGAGGCTGAGGCAGGTGGATCACTCGAGCCTAGCAGTTCAAGACCAGCCTGCGCAACATGGCAAACCCTGTCTCTACAAAAAATACAAAAATTAGCCAAATGTGGTGGTACATGCCAGTAGTCTCAAGGGAGGCTGAGGTGGGAGGATTGCTTGAGCCCAAGAGGTTGAGGCTGCAGGGAGCCATGATCACACCACATGATCTTCTGTGGGCAAGGGTCCACGGGAGGCATTCCCGTTGATTAATGGCCTAAGTTGCATAAATATAAATATATGGGAAAACCTGGGCAGGTCCCACTTGGCAAGTGATTACACAGACTAATTTCTTTAGGCCCCACTAGGAAGAAAAGATTTTATCACAAATCGAGAGTAGTCTGTCATTCTCTGGAATTGTGTTCTTAAATTAGATAAAGGCATGCCTTGGTATTTGTCTCTAGTCCATTCCTGAATCATGTAGTGCACTTTTGGAAAGCAAAAACTTCCATTCCATTCTTTTAAATGAGAAAAATAGTATGTTCTCAGCCCAACCAGAAAGCATAATCAGTTCCCCCAAATATAGTACAAAACCTTTTAAACTCCTATATAGCATTTAAAGCACTAATTATGTAATCATATAACACTTAATGGACTCATTATTGGGCTTATATGGTAAATGACAGAATACTAGATACAAATTATAATTGCCTTTTATACTGCAATGAAAATAAAAAATGAAATAATATGTTAAAGATTATATCTAAATTGGAAACTTGTTACTGATACCCCCAGGCTCCTGGCAAAAGCTGAGAAAGGGTCCATGGGAGGCTAACCCCCCCTCTGGTTTTATACATATTTTGCCTACACTTGAACACAAATGTTTTTCACTAGCAGGTACATGCATATTTGTGATAGTGAATTTTAAATTCAGAGAGTGAATTCTGAGTAAGAATTTTTGCAAGTCATTATAGCAAATATTCAGATGGAGTTCAGACAGCCAGGGATACCTGTGTATATGATAACAAAAAGTGAAAAAGACATGAGAAAGCACCATAAGATGAACAAAAATAGCAAAACACAGTCCGTCCTCAAGTTGCGGAATATGTTATGAAGATAAAACAAGTACCCAAGTTAGCACATTATTAGTAAATTATAAATTACTTCAAATTAAATGCCGTAAGAATAGAAGGGCTAGAGGGGGTGGAGCGAGGATAATTGAGTATAATTGAAATGAGAGGACAGGAGAGAAGGGAAGGTTTCTATTTTAGTGGGGAACAAATTTGGAGAACAGCAAAAAATGGCAAGAACAAAGTTCTGCATAGCAGGAGAATATTGGCAAGCACTTGTGTGGACATGTGTTCTCAGTTCTCTTGGGTACGTATCTAGGAGTGGAATTGCTGGGTCATATGGTAACTCTATGTTTAACTTTTTGAGGGGCTGTCAAAAGCTGTTTTCTATGGCAGCTGAACCATTTTACATTCCCACTAGCAATCTCTTGGGGAGAGAAGGTTCCAGTACACCAAAGAAGTGTAACATTGATTAAAGTATTCTAATACATAATTCAATTCAGATTTCTCTTGTCTGAAAGGTTCACCATATAGCTTTTTTAATAAACAGTTTTATGGAAAGATAATTTATATACCATAAAGTTTACTCCTTTAAAGTATACGATTCAATGAATTTTAATACATTTACCAAATTGTGCAGCTGGCACCACGATCTAATTTGAGAACATTTTCCTGATCCCAACTTCTGTAGCTGTTTAAAAAATATTTCAAGATTAATCAAAGATTCATACTGTATTTAGTTGATGTGAGTCTTTGGTCTCCTTTAATCCCTACCTTTTTCTTCCTTCCTTGACATTTGTATTTTTGAAGCTTCTAGACCAGTTATCTTTTAGAATGCCTCATGCAATGCATTTCTTTAATCTTTATTTATCATAGTTAAATTCAGGTTAAACATCTTGACCAGGAAAAAAGTAGTCCCAATGTAGGAGACATTGAAGAGGGATTTGAGATTTTTAAGCACTATTGTGCACTAGGCCCTGTAACCAAAAAAAAAAAGTTTTAATCAAGCTGCATGTCTAGGAGTATGCTCTAGAAAAATTACCATGGCAATAATATTTAATTTGAGGGTAGGGAAGCTAGTTAGGCCTTTGCTGTAATACAGAAAAGTGAAAAGAGAGGATGGAAGAAATAGTAACCTACATGTTGCCATTGGCCGTTTTTTTGTTTGTGTGTGTGTGTGTGTGTGTGTGTGTGTGTTTTTTTTTTCTTTTGAGACGGAGTCTCGCTCTGTTGCCCAGGCTGGAGTGCAGTGGCCAGATCTCAGCCTCCCGAGTAGCTAGTTTTTTGTATTTTTTTAGTAGAGACGGGGTTTCACCGTGTTAGCCAGGATGGTCTCGATCTCCTGACCTCGTGATCCGCCCACCTCGGCCTCCCAAAGTGCTGGGATTACAGGCATGAGCCAACGCGCCCGGCCTTGTGTGTGTTTTTTATAGAGAGGCAAGCTCTTGCTGTATTGCACAAGCTGGACTTGAATTCCTGGGCTTAAGCCATCTTCCTGAGTAGCTGGGTGGTATTATTATTTATATAGAACAGGACTAAGTATCTTGGGAGTCAAGAGACTTTCCATTGAAACAAAATTTCTGAGACCAGACGCAGTGGCTCATGCCTGTAATCCCAGCACTTTGGGAGGCTGAGGTGGGCGGATCACTTGAGATCAGGAGTTCGAGACCAGCCTGGCCAACATGGTGAACCCTCATCTCTACTAAAAATAAAAAAAAAAATTAGCAAGGTGTGGTGGTGCACGTCTGTAATCCCAATTACTTTGGAGGCTGAGGCAGGAGAATTGCTTGAACCCGGAAGGCGGAGGTTTCAGTGAGCCAAGATCATGTCACTGCACTCCAGCCTGGGCAACAGAGCAAGACTCCATCCCCCACCCAATCCCCTCACCCCAAAAAAAAAAAAAATTCTGTATCGACTATGAAAATGGGAGCTAGAAATGTGTATGGTCAAAGAAAAGAATAGGTGCTCCCACAACAGAACAGAACATTCATGGAAATATTAAATAGATAGCTTTTATAAGAGCCTTAACCGTCAAACATGACCAGGAAAGGGGATCAGATGCAGGCTGTACCCCCTTGTGTTCCCACTCCTGCTTCTGCTGACTAGTTAACAAAGAAGGAAAGAAAACTAACAGTCATCATTTCACGTTTCCAGAAAGTTCCTTGCTTATTTTCAGGTCCCACTAAAAGCAGTTATCAATATAAAACTGTACCAGGAATGGTTGTCAAGGTACATCTCTGAATCATTTAAGAATATTGAGGCTTTTCTTGGCCGGGCACTGTGGCTCACTCATCTCAGCACTTTGGGAGGCCAAGGCGGCTGAATTGCTTGAGGTCAGGAGTTCGATCAGCCTGGCCAACATGGCAAAACCCTGTCTCTACTAAAAATACAAAAAATTAGCTGGGTGTGGTGGTGCACGCTTGCAATCCCAGTTACTCGGGAGGCTGAGGCACGAGAATCACTTGAGCGTGGGAGGCGGAGGTTGCAGTGAACCAAGATTGCACCGCTGCACTCCAGGCTGGGTGACAGAGCAAGACGCTATCTCAAAAAAAAAAAAAAAAATTGAAGCTTTTCCCCTCATTATTCCTGTGTTCAAGTAGGGTGAAAACTATGTGGATACGGATGGTTTTATTTGCGCCTAGGTCCTCTGTGTTAGAGTACTCAAGTCCTGCCCTGTGTGCACTTCCTTTTACTTGTTTTTATTTCTTCATAGTGCTCTACGGAAACGTATCCGAGAGGACAGAAAGGCCACCACAGCTCAGAAGGTGCAGCAGATGAAACAGAGGCTAAATGAGAATGAACGAAAAAGAAAAAGGTGGTTATATTGGCAACCTATTCTCACTAAGATGGGGTTTGTGTCAGTCATTTTGGTTGGCGCTTTTGTTGGCTGGACACTGTTTTTTCAGCAAAATGCCCTATAAATAAACAATTAATTTTGCCCAGCAAGCTTCTGCACTAGTAGCTGACAGTGCTACATTAATCATAGGGGTTTGTTTGCAGCAAACGCCTCATATCCCAGAAACGGTGCAGTAGAATAGACATCAACCAGATAAGTGATATTTACAGTCACAAGCCCAACATCTCAGGACTCTTCACTGCAGGTCCCTCTGAAACCCAAACTGTAAATGGCTGTCTAAAATAAAGACATTCATGTTTGTTAAAAACTGGTAAATTTTGCAACTGTATTCATACATGTCAAACGCAGTATTTCACCTGACCAACATTGAGAAATCCTTTATCACAGGATTTGCTTTTGGAGGCTATCTGGATTTTAACCTGCACTTGATACAAGCAATAAATATTGTGGTTTTATCTACGTTATTAATGGAAAGAAAATGACATTTAAATAATGTGTGTGATGTATAATGTACTGTTGACATGGGCAGCAACACTTTATATTCTTAAACATTTCAGGGTAAATATATTTTATAAATATCTATTTAATCTTTTGTAGTTAACTGTACTTTTTAAGAGCTCAATTTGAAAAATGTTACATAAAAAAATAAATTGTGTGTTGATTCAATTGTACTGGATACATTTTCCATTTTTCTAAAGAGAAGTTTGATATGGGGAGTTAGAAGTCGGAATAAGCAATTTCTACTATACATTGCATTTCTTTTATGTTTTACAGTTTCCCCCATTTTAAAAAGAAAAGCAAACAAAGAAACAAAAGTTTTTCCTAAAAATATCTTTGAAGGAAAATTCTCCTTACTGGGATAGTCAGGTAACAATTGGTCAAGACTTTTGTAAAGAAATTGGTTTCTGTAAATCCCATTATTAATATGTTCATTTTTCATGAAAATTTGAATGTAGTTGGGGTAAATTATGATTTAGGAAGCAAAAGTAAGAAGCAGCATTTTATGATTCATGATTTCAGTTTACTAGACTGAAGTTTTGAAGTAAACATTTTTCAGGTTCTTTCTACTTCAATAAATAGTATGATGATATGCAAACCTTACATTGTCATTTTAACTTCTTAATATTTTTTTAAAGCATACTGTTTAATGAATTTAACTGCTCATTTGAGTGCTAGCTTTCTTCAGATTTCAACATTCCATTCAGTGTTTAACTTTTTTGTCTTAAACTTGAAATTGTTGTTGTAAATTTAATTGCTAGGAGGCATGGATAGCAAACATTATTATGAATAGCATACCTTATTTCAGTGGTTTTCAAACTATGCTCATTGGATGTCCAGGTGGGTCATCAAGTTACTTTCAACCACAGCTTCTCTGCCTTGTCTCTTTATGTGCCACTTAAGGTGTCTGCATAAGGCTTAAGTATCTTAAAGGGGGCAGTTATCATTTAAAAACAGTTTGGTCGGGCGCGGTGGCTCATGCCTGTAATCCCAGCACTTTGGGAGGCCGAGGCGGGTGGATCACCTGAGGTCAAGAATTCGAGACCAGCCTGGCTAACATGGTGAAATGCCGTCTCTACTAAAAATGCAAAAATTAGCTGGGCGTGGTGGTGGGCACCGGTAGTCCCAGCTACTCAGGAGGCTGAGGTATTAGAATTGCTTGAACCCAGGAGACGGAGGTTGCAGTGAGCCAAGATCGCACCACTGCACTCCAGGCTGGGCGACAGAGCGATACTCCATCTCAAAAGAAACAAACAAAAAACAGTTTGTGGCCAGGCGCGTGGCTCACGCCTGTAATCCCAGCACTTCGGGAGGCCAAGGCGGGTGGATCACGAGGTCAGGAGATTGAGACCATCCTGGCCAACATGGTGAAACCGTGTCTCTACTAAAAACAAAAATTAGTTGGGCGTGGTGGCACATGCCTGTAGTCCCAGCTCCTTGGCAGGTTAAGGCAGGAGAATCGCTTGAACCCGGGAGGCAGAGGTGGCAGTGAGCCGAGATTGCCACTACACTCCAGCCTGGTAACAGAGCAAGACTTTGTCTCAAAAAAAAAAAAAAAAAAAAGTTTGAAAACCATTGGTATAGATAGATATTTTGAATTGATTTGCATAGTCTCCTTGAATGTGTTAAATTATGTTGAAAGTATGAAAGCAGGATGTAGGTGGTACTATATATTAAATAAGATTTACATAACATGTGCCTGTGTCCTGATTCAGTATTACTGTGTCCTGTAACCTTGAAATGGAGAGGAGGTAAGAGGGACATTTTTTTATGTCTGTCTGCATTAAACATGTGTTGAGGCATCCAAGACCCTTCACATTTCAGGTTTTTATTGGTTTAAAACCTCTTTCCGGTTTGTATTGGTTTGTCTTTGCTAAATACAGTATGTTACTCTGCAAGTCACATATAAGTAGACCTTATGACATTTCCAGTTGAAACTAGGCTTGTTTTCGGTACACAGGTGAAGACTTGAGGAAGCCAGTGCCAGGGAGGACGTGCCTCACCCCTCTGCTGGCTGAATGCGCTTCATCCGCTTACGCTTTGCTTTCTGTATGCTTTGTGTCCTTCTGGGTGGTGTCGTGTATATTTTTAAAACCACATTCAGTGTGATGAACACTTGTTGGTACACTTCTAAGGTTAGTCATCTTTCCTTCTCCACGCAGATCCTTGAGAAGGGCATTGACAGTGGATGCGTTAAATAGTGTTCAGTGTTTACCAGTAATCATATTTTTTGGTGGATGTCGTGAAAACACATGACATCGTGTTGTGCCCATGATCATTATCCTGACTTTTTATTTGGTGAGGTGTGCTGGTCAAAGAGACAGACGTGGCTGCCTTCTCTGGTAACAGCCAGAGGAAAAAGTTAGCAATTCTAGATGGGCTCTACAGCTTTAAAAAAACTGGTTGTATCCTTAGGTCCTCATGATATTAAATATTTTCTAATTTTAACAGATTTTAAGAGTCAGATATTATACTTTGACTTGAATGAGGGTAGTGTTGCTTTTTGAATAGGTTAAGGAAGAAAAAATTTTTAAAAACAGGGTTTTTTTTTTTATTTTCAGGAGTTTTTAATTCGTATCTAGCTCATTTCCACTCATATCTATTTCTGCTAATAGATTGACAGCAACCTTTGGTTTAATGCCGTGTTCTCTAACTACACCAAGAAGTTATATATTCCTTTCCAATGTTAGCCAAGTATTTCTTTTATGTTAGCCTATGACTGACTTTTATCTGTGCTTGCACATACATAGAATGTAAAAATATAATTCTCCATGTTTAATGTATCCATATAAAAATAAAAATACTCATTTTCTGCATTCTTAAAGAGTTTAAAAAAAGTAACATGTAATAAGTACATGGAGGACTTTAGAGCAATATAAAGGCCATTTCTTGTGTTGGAGGAGACTTTATACATTTGTCAGGTTTTCTACCTTTTGGTCCTTTTATGTTCTTAGTCCATTTCATTGTTGTTCTAATGTTTTTACCAAGGAATGAACAAGAAAAGAGAAAGGAAGGAAAAAAAATGTGTTAATTGTTTTCTTTTAATGGTATGTCAGTGGAAGGGGTTCTGACTCTAAGCTAATGGGCACTTGTTGTGCCTGTCCTCTTTGTCTTAAACTAAAGTTGGTGGTATGAATCAAAAAGTGTTTATTGGTTTAAAAAGCAGTTTATGATATGAAACGGTCTTCCAGTTTTTATATCAACTCCTTTGCTTTCAACAGTCAGTTCAAAGCACCATTTATTGATCGTTTATTGTATTCCAGACACTGTATTTTTTCTTTACTTATTACTCTACTTAATCCTCAACACAATTTTATGAAGTAGGTATTGTTGTTAATCGACCTGAAACTGGCATTTCTCCATCCTTTTATGGTGCTGTCATTGAAAAGTCTCAGATGTGTAACATGTACTAGAATTAGATAATTCTCAAAGAAAGACTACAACTGCAACCCATTTCCCTCTGAGAAAAAATACCACTGACTAGATTATGTATCTAGTTCAGACCAGAATCTACTGCAACCCATTTCCCTCTGAGAAAAAATACCACTGACTAGATTACATATCTAGTTCCAGACCAGAATCTACTGCAACTCATTTCCCTAGAGTTGAATACCACTGCTAGATTACAATATCTAGTTCCAGACCAGAATCTACTGCAACTCATTTCCCTCTGAGAAAAAATACCACTGACTAGATTACATATCTAGTTCCAGACCAGAACCTACTGCAACTCATTTCCCTCTGAGAAAAAATACCACTGACTAGGTTACATATCTAGTTCCAGACCAGAATCTATTGCAACTCATTTCCCTCTGAGAAAAAATACCACTGACTAGATTACATATCTAGTTCCAGACCAGAACCTGGTGGTATTAAAAGTGTTTTGATTGACTGTTCTATACCATAATGAGTACCTACATTCTCAAATTGCCTGCCTGGTTATTGTACAGACTTAAAAATCTAGTCTGCCCTGATTTTTACTTTTCAGATACAGCTGTTTAAACAGATTTTTGCTGGGCACAGTAGCTCACACCTGTATTCCCTGAACTTTGGGAGGCCAAGGTGGGAGGATTGCTTAAGCCCAGGAGTTCGATCAAGATCAGCCTGGGTCTCTACTTAAAAAAAAAAAAAAAGAAAAATTTTAGCTGAGTATGTTGGCACATGCCTGTAGTCCCAGCTACTCAAGAGGCTGAGGCAGGAGGATCGCATAAGCACAGAAGTTTGAGGCTGCAGTGAACTATGATGGAGCCATTGCACTCCAGCCTGGGCAATAGAGGAGACTTGTCTGTCTCTATATATTTGTGTCTCTCTCTTGCGCGTGCATGCGCGCGCGCTCGCTCTATATATATACACGCACGCACATACATATAGAGAGATGTATATAAAATAGATATAAACATTTTAAAGATATATATATATATATTTTAAAAATATATATTCTGTTATAAGCCAGATGTCATCAGGCATGTAGTCCATTTCTTTCTGTGTTCAAGCAGGAGTTCCAGTTCTGTAAACATTGGTTTATCTTTTTTTCTAGCAGGTGCACACATGGGTTCTCAGTGATGTGTAGCCAGGGCATAGATTCCTCTCGGTCTGTTGTACCCCGCAGGGAGAGGTGTCTGAGGCCCTCCCTCACCTGGCTGTGCTTGACGCACAGTGCATAGCAGAAATGCCTGTTCTGCATTCCCATTTATACATCAACAGCTAATAAAGTCTCTTTTACTTTTAAGAGGCCCTTATTTGACTTTGACTTATTTAGATGGTAGGGGCCTAGAATCTTATTAATGAAATTTTGAAAAATAGAAATGTATTTTTTTCACGATTTAAAAGCCACCTGTGTGGTTTACTCTGGAGTTGACCTGTTCCACTCATCCTTCTCCCCAGTTCATTTGTTTGGTTTCAGTTCCACTTTCCCTTATACCTATCTTCAAAGCAGTGTCTATGGGACAGCGTTACCAAGAGCCCTGACTGGGCCTGGCTTGGAACTCACTCCTGTAATCCCACCTCCCCCTAGAAGTGCAGCTACACTAGAAATTACAGCTGTCTTTGTTCCAGTGAGTATGTATAAGGGGTAACATGCCTTGGTGGGAAGCAGCTCAGATTGTGTGGCCTCCTCAATCCCTGCTCTACCGAGAGCTCCCCAGTTCCAGTACTGGACACTCAGT